GAACTTACTGACTTTTCAAAACAATCATTTATTTAGCCCATGATTCTGTGAATTGGTTGAGTAGTTCTAGTCGATCAACTGATCTCTGCTGGCGTCTCTCATGTATCTGTGGCAGCTGGACGGCCAAGTGGATGATCTAGGATCTAGGATGGTCTCACTATGTGTCTGGCTGTTGGTAAGTTATCAGCCAAGGTGACAGGAGTGACTGGGCTATGGTTTCTCATCCTCCAGCAGTCTAGTTCAGAATTCTTCACACGGTAGTTGTTGTAGAGTTTCCAAAAGCAACAAGAGAGAGCAAGCTCCAAAGCACAAGTATTTTTTAAACTGCTTGCATCACATTTGCTAAATTTCCTTTAGTTAAGGAAATCACAGCTCTAGCACATCATCAGTGAAGGAAATAATTCATGGCCATTTTTGTTGCCTGCCACAATCCTCTTCATCACTGTCATCATAAAAACTAGTATTTATTGAGTGCTTACTAAGTTCCAGGTGCTGTTCTAATCATATTACATTTATCAAAGTGTGTAATTCTATTCACAACCGTATGAGGCAGATACTATTATATTCTATATTGGAGAAAAGGAAACTGAGGCACAGAATGACAAAGCAACTTAGCCAAGGTTGCACAGCTGGAAAGCATGGGAGCTAGAATTCAAACCAATGCTCCAGAGTCATACTTGTAATGACTGTTCTCTGCTGTCTCTTCTTCGCACTCTGTATGTGCGCTTTTCCATGATTTCTTCTTTTTCATGAGTGATCTAGGAAGAGATAAATACCTTGATTTTCTTTTTTTTGAGATGGAGTCTCACTCTGTTGTCAGGCCGAAGTGCAGTGGTGCCATCTTGGCTCACTGCAACTTCCACCTCCTGGGTTCAAGCGATTCTCGTGCCTCAGTGTTCCAAGTAGCGGGGATTACAGGCATGTGCCACCATGCCCAGCTAATTTGTGTATTTTTAGTAGTGACAGAGTTTCACCATGTTGGCCAGGATAGTCTTGACCTCCTGACCTCCTGATCTGCCTGCCTCATCCTCCCAAAGTGCTGGGATTACAGGCGTGAGTCACCACGCCTGGCCAATACCTTGATTTTGACAGGTTCCCTGAACATTGCCATGTCTACCACCACATTGTCCACACTTCAGCATTTTTCCAACAAAGCATCTGGAGTTTCTCTCATCCAGGATGGATGTGACTGGGATGCGTTATTTCAGGTCTTGGTAGTAAATTTGATCTCTTTCTGGTTCTTTGTGGTGACGATGTTGGCAAGGGTGTTGGAAGCTCAGAGCTTCATTCATAGAGCACTTCATCTTTTATTTATTCAGACAAGTTTGGGGCCTTAGAAACATGTGGCTGATAACAATGCTGAAATATTACGTAATATAAACATAGAATTTATATATGTTTATTAATAGTTTCTTAGAGGTGATTTGCAATAACTTTTGATATCAGAGACTGTGGCTTTCTCTCTATCCTCAGCAACTAGCACAGCCAAGATCACACAGAGGACACATTGAAGGAGCTCAGTACATGTTTGCTGTAAATATCTATATCCATATCTGTATTTTATTAAGACAGGGTCACAAACACATATACTAATGGTAACCGGATATTGGCCAGGTGTGAACATTAATGAATAGTTGGGACTGGCATCCCGTGGAGAACTCAGTCCCCATCTCACAGTAGAAGGCCTAGTCATTTGATACCATGTAGGAATGCTCAGTGTTATTGGATTGTTTCATTATTTAGGAGATGCTGTAACTTCAGATGTATATCTAAAACTTTCCTGAATTTAAAACAGTGTATGTCAGATGAAACAGGTCAGTTGACCAAATCTGGTCCATGGTCAATTGATTTGTGACCCCCGCTTCCAACACATTAGGTACTTGTTAGTACCTTTCTATTGCATTATTACTGTCCTGAAGGCCAGAGGTAGAAGGGGAGACACAGAATAAGGAAGAGATGGAACAATGAGATGACAAGAGATGAAGGACTTCAAGAAGGATGGATGATTGCCTATTTCAGAGATTCTGTAGAGGTCAAAGAAATGGGAATAAGGCCATTAGATTAAAGCAAATTAATTATTTGGCACAGCACTACATCTACAGGCTCTGTTCTTAAAAACCAAATGGTCAAATAACATGGGAAATACTCCATTAAGCAAATTAAAATAATTTATTTACTCTGACCCTTCTAATTGTCTTTAATATTCTACTATGCAATGTAAACCTCCAAAAGGAGAAGAGATTTACTGAGTTTTTTTAAACTTTCATGATCAAGGAGTCCTTAGGTCATATAATTCGTTGTTTAGAATGATTAGATAGAATATGATTAGATAGAATGTTTTGAGGAAAACATTTTGGAAAAGCTGGATAAGAGGCTGAAGAAACCATTGGGAGTCTATGGAGGCCTGATGTGGAGACTGGAATGCGTGGTAGTGAGTGAACACACAATGAGCCAGTGGAGCAGCATGGCAAGTATAGAAAGTAGGCCAACCTATTAGGAACTGGGAATTGCCAGCTTAGTCATCTTTTTAAGACAAAACCTTTTTAGCATCATTCCTTTGCTGAAAACAGACAAGCAAAAAAACCTCAAGGGTGCCCGCCTCTGATGTGTGAAAGCTCTTGCTTTAACATTCCAGGCTCTCATTTATCAAGTCAGCTGACCTTTCTCATTCCCCAGTTATTCCCTGACCTTTCTCATTCCCCGACCTTTCTCATTCCCCAGTTACTCCCTGCACTCACACCCTGCTCTAAACACCCTGCTCTGCTGGATGTCCTTATTGCTTGCATGGTGAGTGGTCTCCCCAGCTGCTCCAGTTAGATACATGCCTGTTTTGCAAGGCACGGGTCAAATCCTGCTTTCCCTATTAAGCCTTCCTTAGCCATCAAGCTGCAGTCAGTTCTTTTGCTTAAACAACTGGAGCAGTTACTTCTGAAGGACTTACATGGGACTTAGTGTGTTGGAGACTGCTTATATGATTTGAGGCCAAGAGAAGAAAACTATGTCTTGAGCTCTGCAAGACATTTGCCCTCACAGTACACCCAAATAAGGTTAGGATAATATTGCCCAGAAATACAGAAGAGCAAGGGCATAACTCCAATCACAATGCATTTCATAGATTATGGTCTATAGTTATACAATCACCTATTATTCCTTGAGGGTAAAAGAGTGTATTCTCTTTTATAGGCTTTGTCAACAGTAAAGACCATCATTTCTAGACACTGGGCTGAGAATATTACATGTTTATCTTGGTGAATCCCACAACCTCCCTAAGTAGAGCGTTATTATCCCTATTTTACGGAGGAGGAAGCTGTCTTGAAACATTTAAGTCAGATTGTTCACACTTATGACCAGTTCTCTATCTGGTGAAGGTAGTCAGGTGTACAATCTCATGTACCTCACCCCAAACCTGGGCTCTTTCTGTCCCAGCACACCATCTCCATGGCCATGCTGGCCACCAGAAATTTAATGACACAGAATAGAGAATTGAAGGTAAGAATTCACACTGCATCTTCAAGTGGCAGATATATACCAGTAGAAAGAGGAAGACAGACAAAATCTGGTAAGGGTCTACACAGTTTGAATATAATTGGATTCTAGGTACATTCTGGGGTTTTATAAGTACCTAGCACAGCTCAAGAGAGGCCCTCTTGAGTGTCCATGGGCCATAGTTAAGGTGAGATTTGGAGGATGCAACATCATGGGGGCACATGCATGACCCGGGGGGCAGTGAGAGTCTTCTATTCCCTGGTCATTCATCAATGTCACCGAAGGAGGTGACCTTCATTTCCACCTACTCTAAGCTCTTGGCTGTTCTTTCTGTCTCCTTTACTAGACTGTGAACTCTAAGGAGAGAAACGATTTTATTTATCTGGCCCTGTCGCAATTTCTGGTATATAAACAGTAACTATTTGTTGGTTTGATGAATGAATGACAAGTCAGCCAAGGCAAAGTGCTCATAGGATATGATAGAGAGAGCACAATGTAGTACACCTTTATCCCCCCATGAGACAGCCAGATTATCTCACTGCATGTTATGTCTCTCCCATGTTTGTTTATATATTATCCAGCAGTCTCTGGCTTCTCAGAATGCTTGACAAATTCCAAATCCTCCCTTCCATAATGTCAAACCTTATAATTTTCAGGCCTCATCGAAGATTGTAAAATCCTGCAGCAGCACAAGAGATGTGTGGTGTCCTTTGCACTTTCCCCACATCTTCCAACACAGTGCCTTGTGCAGAGCAAAGACTATATACATGCACGTTGAATGACTGCATTGAAATGGATTGGAGACATGGTTGGGGACCTGTCCTAACAGTGCCATCTTCTTGAGACAATGCTTGGTGAATTCAGGTGGTAAAGGGAGAAGAAATCAGGATAGTGACATAGATGGGGCAAGAAGAGTAAGCAGGATCTATCAACTCATTGGATGTGGAAGGTGGAGAGGAGGAAGAGAAAAAATGATTCAAAGACTTTGATCTCAGCTGACAGTCTGAAGGATTATGCCCAAGGGAGAAATAGGGAAGTTCTCTTTCCCCATGACCCTCTCATCCTCACTTCAGTTTAAGCATGGAGAAAAGATTTCCCATAAAAGTCCATTGAGGCTGAAGTACTCAGTGGAGGGAGACAGACATGGATGGTCATTCAGGAGTGTTCAGGAGGACAAGAGAGAAAGATCTGCCCTTATCTCTCTGCAGAAGAGCTTTGCTCTGCTGAGGAGGAGAAATTTGAGCTGAGTGTATTTTTGGTTGGTATGACTTGTAAGTTCTCTGTTTGATAACAGAGATGTTTGAATGGCCTATTTTATAACTACACAGAGCTTTTCCAAATAGATGGTGTCTGTAGAGTGTTCAGGTTAATGCATGAGCCCAGTGCTCAGAGTGTTTGCACTTGGAGCATCTGAGCCTTCTTTCTTAATAAGTCATCTTGGCATTTTGTCAACAAGTTAATTTACTTTTCTAAGAAACTAGATTAATACTTCCTGTACTTTGTGCTATTCACAGATCTACAATGCAGTGAGAAGAGGAGAAGAAACAGAAAATACAGTTGGAGCTCTACTCCATTTCTTCACAAAGCTCCCAGCCTCTGAGACAGCCCATGGAAGGATAAGCATTGGTCCGTGCTTAAAGCAATGTGTCCGAGACACCGTATGTGAGTATCGTGCCACCCTCCAAAGGACATCAATATCGCAATACATCACCGGTTCTCTCCTAGAAGCAACCACCTCTTTGGGAGCAAGAAGTGGCCTTCTCAGTACTTTTGGAGGATCCACTGGACGAATGATGCTGAAAGGTAACGCCTGAAATTTCATTTTTAACCTTTTATCTTTGCAGAGAAGGATCTAAGTTAAGATTTATGTGTCTCCTGATGGAAAATTGAGTTCACTTTTCAGCAACTTTAAGTAAAAGTTGCTTCTTTAAGAGAATATAAACAGGTGGTCCCTTATTGAAATCTCCTAAGGTGTCAACATTCCAAATAGTAGTCATTAAGATTTTGAAATTTTTTTCAAATGAAGTAAATGGTTAAAATGCTATCTTTAATTTTTTTTTTTTAATGATTCAGGCAGTTGGTTTCTCCTAGTGGTAGTTTATGACAGATGTCAGTTACTGTGATAAGATGCTAGGAAGCAAATATGGTCAAGCAGTCATATTGAAAACCCACTGTGGTTGGGAGCAGAATGAGCTATAGATCTCCTTCATACACAGAATTAATAGGTCTCTGTTGACCAGAAAAGCCAAAGGCCATCTTTCAGCTACTCCCATCTTGAAGGACAAGATAGGCAGGCATCCCACTGAAAAATGAAAGCCAATGGAAAATGGGGTCCCTTGGCAATTGAAGCTCCCAGCTACTTCCTACCAGTAGCAGACAGGCAAGTCAGAAATGGCAGTGCACCAAAGAACCCCAGAGACTTGTATACTACACAGCTGTCACAAGCTGCTTGGCAGCCTTCCCTGGCAAGAAGCTGCCAACCAGACAGGGACCATGCAAAGCAGCGTTCCACTGCCTGGGGGTTGCCAGAGCTCAATCTGACAGCAGCTATTGTCTCTCCACAGCAAGTCCTGAGACCCAAGGCCAGCAGGCCAGTGACCTTCCTCCTTGATTTTCAGCCTTCTCCATTCCTTACCCTCCCACACACACCCCTAGAGAGGGCTAAGAGGAATACCATAACCTCCTTGTGTACTATGTTGGGTGCCAAATTTGTTTGATTTCTGGAGTTGCCCAAACTTCAGGGCATTGGTTATAAATGAATGAAGAATAACACAAGATTTGGTGACAGTAATCCAAGAAACTAATGGCTTCATGTTTTTCATCCATTAAACACATTTTTTGAGTCCCTATTAGGTGGTAGGTGCCGGAAAGGGAACAAAACATAATACCTGTCCTCATAGAGTTTATAGTCTCTAGGTGGCAGCTATTTTCTCTACACACAGGATTCAAGGGTTCTCGTCTCTGATGTGGCTCCCAGAGAGTGCCAAGCCTGCATTCTTAATCATACTCTTCCCAGGAAGTTGGGCTGAAATTGGCATGTGGAATTGGCATTGTTTTAATGCTTGTGATTGTATACCAGGGCCTTATCCCATGAGTTAATCAACACGTGTTAATTAAACCCTCTCGGTTTTCCAAGACTTTTTTTTTTTTTAAGATGCAGTCTTGCTCTGTCACCCAGACTGGAATGCAGTGGTACAATCTTGGCTCACTGCAGCCTCCACCTCCCAAGTCCAAGTGATTCTCATGCCTCAGCCTCCCAAGTAGCTGGGACCACAGGCATGTACCACCTTGCCTGGCTATTTTTTGTATTTTTAGTAGAGATGGGGTTTTGCCATGTTTATCAGGCTGGTCTCGAACTCCTGACCTCAGGTCGTCTGCCCATCTCGGCCTCTCAAAGTGCTGGGATTACAGGTGTGAGCCACCACACCTGGCCTTAAAGTCTTTACGTGCCTCCATTACACATATTTCTTTAACACGTAGTAGAATAAAATGCATTAGAAAACCAGAAGGGTTTCTCACCACAAAAAATAATATGTAAAGCATATGTTAGTTAGCTCACTTGAAGCTTTCCACAAGGTATATATATTTCAAAATGCCATATTTTCCATGACAAGTATATACAATTTTTATTTACCCACTTTGTGCTCAGCAGTGTGTAGGTGTTATAGGGTAGCCTAATGAGGTGTAAGTCAGTTTATTTGCCTGTAAGGTGTTCATCATTTTAATGAGGAGGCCAAATTTGTATGCACCTAGTAATCAAATAATATAGGAAACTGCAGAGAGGTAAGTGGCAAATAATGTGGAAGTGGCTCTTAAGTGTACAAAAAGTTTGGATAGTGATTTAATATTCTTTATGAGGAATGGCTTGGCCTGAAATGTGAAACCTCAGCAAAGAAAAGTCAATAAAAGCCACATTCTTTCGTCTCCATTAATTGTTAAAGAAATGGATATCCAGGCTGCCCAGCCAAGGCAGGCATGTCTCCAGTCTTCCACAGATCTATGGAGAGAAAAAAAGAGGCTGCTGATGTGTGCATCTATACCCCTGATAGTAATTTGACCTCAATTGCTATTTGCACTTCCCTGCTCAAAATAGAGCCTCATAGATCAATATTTCTAGTTCTGACACTCACCAGACTGTCAGCTAATGTGTTATTTTTAAATTGGCATTTTATGCAAGAGTTGGAAGTTTCAACTTTTTGTTTCGCAACTCTTTGATGATTTCTGAGAGCCCCCTAGAAACTCCTGCTGAATTATACAATTAGCTGGTTGCCTTCTGCCCCAAACTTATTTCTGCAGTCATGACTTACTCTCTTGAAAACCATTTTCAATTTCAGCATCCTCTCCCATTTGGTTTTGAAAGTCTTTATGTCCCTCAGTTAAACATATTCCTTTAACATGTAGTGGAAGAAAATGCATTAGAAAGCCAGATGGGCTTCTCACCACTAAAAATGATAAGTATGTGAGGTAAAGCATATGTTAGTTGAACCATTCCACAATGTAGACTTATTTCAATTTCAATGTTCAATTGAACCATTCCACAATGTATACATATTTTAAAATATCATGTTATACATGAAAAATATATGTAATTTGTATTTGTCAAATTTTAAAAAATTAAGTAAAAAGAAAATAGGTCTTCAAAGTAAAGAGTGTTTACGGAATCTATAGGATCAACACATTGGGTAGTGAGTCTTGAGCTCTGATGGCCATGAACTCTGCCAGGAGATCAGGAGGACATGCAGCTGTTGTGATGTGGTTGTCAGCTTCTTCTTCAGCATATGTCCTGTGGCATAGACTTGCCCAACAGCTTCCATCTATCGGGGAATATATAATACACCCTTAGTATCCAGTTTATAAATGGGTTATATTCTACAAGTTCATTTCCCAGGAGCTATGTAGAACTTAGAACACTTTCGTGAACAAGCAGTATTAAATGTTGTGATTTGGTTCCCAGATTCTAGTTCTCAGAACCTCTTTAACCCATAACACAGTTGAAATCCACACATTTCCCATGAAATAAAGAGGAAAACACTATTATTGGAATACTGAGCATTAGCCTCTGAGGAAAAGCAATACAAGTGAGTTAGAAGACATTTCTTGTTGGGAAGCAATAATTTTATTAAAGATGAGTAAAGAGTTAAAACCTTTATGGAGATCTTGAAAAGGACTTTTAGCCGTTTCTGAGATTTTAGATGTTGGCAGCTGTAGCTTTTTGTTATGGTTAATTACGCTTCAAAACTTGTACCTATATGAAAGAGTCAGAAAATTACCCCAGTAACCTCTTCCCTAATTTTTTTTAACAAGATGCTTATAAATGGTATGAAGAAGGGTGGAAGGAGGCAGCATGAGATGTAAATTTTTTCCCTAGAGATAAAGAAAAAGGAATAAGTTCAAAAGAATAACCTCTTCCATAAGAGAAAACATGTTTGAAGTGGATTAAATGGAATTGGTAAAGGTGGATTAAAAGGAATTGGTAAAGAGAAAATGGAGCGGGGGAGACAAATGCTGTATGATTTCACTTATATGAAGTACTTAGGGTAGTCAAAATCATAGAGACCTTAAGTGGAAAGGTGGTTACCAGGGAATGAGGAAGAGGAATGGGGGGTTAATGTTTTAAGAGTTTCTGTTTTGCCAGATGAAGAGTTCTGGAGTTCAATGGTGGTGATAGTTGCACAGCAATATGAATGTACTTAATACCAGTGAATTGTACACTTAAAAATGTTGAGATAGTAAATTTTATCTTGTATGTATTTTATCATAATAAGTAATAATGGGTTGGGGAAGGCATGTTGTATAGGCCCTTCATCCCCTCCCTCGTCTATTAGGATGTAAGAAAGAACCGAAGCACTCCTCTTCTGGAAGTGGTTATGATTATGAGATGGGGGTCATGGTCACCTGTAGTAGATGAGAATAGAAGAAAATGTCCAACGAGTTGATCATTATTCACAAGCCAAGAATGGGTAACTCAAGGCTTGATTGTCTAGAGTTCTGCAGCCTTGGGGCTTTATGGATTGGTACAGAAAGCCAACAATCAGAACACAAACATGCCTGCTTTTCTGCCACCAAAGGTGGTCTGCCTATAAAGCTGAAAGTTTGCCAAATAACAAGAGACACTTTCTGATATGAAGCATTGATCCGCAAGGGTATGCCCTTAATCATAAGGGTGTGCCGTCTCAAAGTAGAAAAATAGAGAGCATATGCTTTTCAGCCAGGGACTTCCACTAGTTTGATACAATGAAGATCCTTCCACTTCCTGTCCCTGTGCCCTTTTCCCTCTCTTCGTTAATCTTGTTAGAATCTCAGGACTAACACCCTACAGCAGTGACAATTGAAAGAATTATTGGCTTCAACAATTAGGAAGAAATTTTCAAAGCTATCACCTGCTTTTTCTTTTTTTTTTTTTTTTTTTCAATGTTTTACTTACTGAAAATCATAAAAACAAGATAAAGATAAAGGGGAGAGAAAAAAGTGAGATAACTGATGGTAATGTGGAGTACTAAAAATGGCAAAATTTGAAAAATAAAGTGATGACAAGAGGATTTTTCACATAAGGCAGCTAAGTGTTTTCAAATGTGCATATTGTACCAGCCAACATAATAAATTCAGTGTGTTAAGCTAAATTTTTCCTTCTCAAATTGTTGCTAGGTAAAGCACATAAATTAAAGTATTAAGTATTACATATAACCAGGATAAAACATAGTTGTTCATATTTAAATTGTGTAGTAGAAGGGAGGGCAGATCGACCTACTGAGGCCAGCAAGAAATCTGCCATCTTTCTGACAGATGGAGGCCAGCAAGATAGT